CCCCGCTCGGTTCCTGCCGAGCCCCCTCCTCCCCCTGTGCCTCTGCCCTCCAGGGATGGCTCCCCCCGCTCCAGCCCCCCTTGCTGGCACAGAGGCTGGTCCGGCCTTTCTCATCCTGCTCTCCAGCCCTGGCGTCTGCCGCTCTCACCCCTCTGTCTGTGTCTGTCTCAGGGCCGCCCGGCTGAACTGCTCGAGCCACTTCCCTCGAACGGGGGCAGGAAGCGCCGGCAGGCTGCGGAGGGGGCTCCAGGCGAGCAGGGAGCCCCCTCGGTCTACGAGGGGCTGGAGGAGGTGTACGCTTCGCTCAGCTCCCTGCGCACCGAGGTTGAGCAGCTGAGACGGCCCCTGGGCACCCCCGAGAGTCCCGCTCGCGTCTGCAAGGAGCTGCAGCTTTGCCACCCCCACCTCGAGGACGGTGAGGTTTTTGGAGTTCGACCTGCGGGAGGGAGAGGGAACGCCAGAAACGCCTCCAGGAGGGGGTGGGACGGGGGCTTCCCACCCCTCTGCCCCACGCCAGGCAGTGCACGTACAGCATGTCTCCGGGGAAGGGGCCAAGGCCGGTCCGGAGCCCGCAGGGAGCTGCTCCATCGGCGTGACCGCCCTGCCCTCCTTCCCAGGCGAGTACTGGATTGACCCCAACCAGGGCTGCTCCCGAGATGCCTTCCGGGTTTTCTGCAATTTCACAGCTGGCGGTGAAACCTGTCTCTTCCCCGATAAGAAGTTTGAGGCTGTGAGTTGAAGCGGGGATGAGGAGGGCTGGGGCCGAGCACCGCTGGGCGTCCAGATCTGCTCTCCACCAGCCCTCCCGGCGCTGGGAACCCCTGGGGGCGTGAAGGGGGGAGTTCAGGGCTCGCTCCACCCCGTGCCGTGTGGGCCAGGGGCTAGCGCCACTCTCCTTCGCCCCCCAACACCTTCTCCTCCTCCTCCGTCACCCCCAGGTCCGACTCGCAGCCTGGAACAGGGAGAAGCCGGGAACATGGTACAGCACCTTCAAGAGGGGCAAAAAGGTAAGAGCCGGGGGGTAGACGTTCCTCACGCTCCGTCCTGGGGCAGAAAAGGGGCACCCAGAGCTTGGCATCATCCCGGTCCCGGGGCAGGCCGGGCGTCAGGCGGGTGCGGCG